TTCCAGTTGCTTAATGTGTGTCTGATTTACTTGAGTGTTCTTCAAAATAAAAACAGCAAATTTAAAGATTACTTTTTATGGTAGCAGAGTAAAGAGTTACACTCTTGATTACAAAACTGGAAATAAAGTTTCAAGAGAGTAAAATAAATAACAAAATATAATTCTAGATGGTATTTGAAACTGAAATGCCTCCTTAGATTGCTGGTGCCCCAGCTCCTGTGGGGTGCAGAGTGGAACTAAATGCAGCACTGCGTCCTTCACTCCAACATCTCCAGGATTAGCTCATGCTTTGTAGCTCACCCAGGCAAGAGTTCATCCTCACCACTGCTCAGGGTGGCATCTCTTCTTCTCCATCATCCGTCTTTTTCCCTTCTTGCCTGCTTCCATTCTAAGAGGAATGCAGCATTAGAGTTTATATGAAATTTGGTTGTGATATCTTTCTTTCATCCTGTATTTTATTCTCCTCCTTTGTTTCTTAAAGTTGGACTGCAAAACAGGAATTCCATAAAATATCTTCTCCCTGTCACCTGAGGGCTTCAGCTGGCATTCCTCATCCAGCACAGCCCCTCTACAGAAGAGATTATATTACAAACCACATTTTCAATCAAATCATTAACAAACCACATTTCTCACAAGAATTCCTTTACATACATCTTATGCCGCTCATCACTCTCAGCTCATGGCCAGCTTTCCCTAGGGATTGCATATACAGATGGTGGAGTTGGCAGTAAGTGCTTCTCTCGTTCTCCCCCTTTCCCTCTGCCTCTCCATCTCATTGGTTTTGGATGCCCTACCATCACACTTGCCCTGACCCTCATGAAAGTGAAGAAGCTAAAGCTTACCTAAAACAGATGTAAGAAGCTCATATTTTTATAAGCTGTTTGCTTTAGCACTGCAAGGCATTTGGATTTTATTAAATCCACGCCGTGCAGCAGTAATAAAGAGCACATTTGCAAGATGAAGAGCTGGCAAGCTCGAGGAAGGCAGACAAACAGGCAGGGGATGGGATCTGGGAGTGCCCCCGTTCCTGCACATCCAGAGCAGCAGCAGCACAAGCAGCAGCCCCAGCCGCCGCCTTCACCCCGCCAGGAAAGGCGCAGGGAGCGCATGGGCCGCGCTGGCCATGAAGAGGGAGACTGCTGCCTAGCGGCAGCCGCTGCTGCGTTCAACGGGAAACTGGCTCCTCCGGGGCCTAGACATAGGGCAAGGCCTCCCTCTTGCACCCTCTGGGGCAGAAGGTCCCAGCACATGAGGTGGTGCTAGCAGAGGGGTTGCCTGCTGAGGCAGCAGTCTCTGCTGGGATGTGAGTCTCCCAGCTCCTGCTGCCGTGGGCTGGACGGGAGCCCCGGTGCCAGAGCCGGCACGCTGGGCCTGAGGCAAATGGAGAGGTCTTGCAAAGTCCTGGTGAAAGAGGAGTCATCAGCCTCAGCATAAGGGGTTTCCAGCAGAGGACTGTGGTGGTACTTACACCTCACATGGTCCTCAATGTTCTGACAGTGATGATAAAACCACCACTGATAAAATCAACAGATGGCACATGTTCTTGACAAGGGTGAATACCTGTGTGGGTAGGACAGCCTTACTGAGCTCATCCAGAAAAAGCACTTTTGAATCAAACAAGTGCAGCCCATATAAATACAGGGCATCCCCCCAAAATAATATGTTTTAATCTTGGAAAGCAGGGACACCAGGGTGGAAGTGATGCTCAGAGCAGCCTGGAAACTCACAGGGCAAAAACCACCAGCTTGAACTGTAAGGACAGGAACAGTGCACAGGAATGGGACGGTGATGTTGTCTCCAGAAATGCTACCCCAGCACTGATCCTGTACATTTGATGCTGTTATGCTCAATTACAGAAAAGATATAGGAAAGGAGAAGAGGAAAAAGCTACAAAAATTATCTGGGGTAAAAAAAAGGAAAAATGTTCTGCAGTGAAGACCTTCAGCTGCAGCTCAGTAACATGATAAATCTGTTTCAGGATTCCTCAGATCATTCAGGCTACATGACACCATGTGCAAAAGCAGGACAAAGTCATTTTGCAGGTTTAAACCTGTTCCTAAGTTTACGGAAAGGTAACTTTATCCTGTCAGACTTCATGCTGGATGAAGTATCATGTGTCAGCACCACTATAATTCTATGTCAGATCAGCCCGTTTCTGTTCCTCCTACAGCTGACAAAGCTGCCAGAAAAAAACATAAATCCAGCATAAACAGCGTATCGTGTGCAGCAACTAATTAATCAGCAATATGATCGTGTGCTCCTGTATTATCTGGATCACACTGGTGCAGATGGACGTCCTGACAGCTCCGTAACAAACAGATTGAAAGATGATCTGATTACCATGTAAGTGACATCATGGTAAGAGAATACTGAAGCATACTATATGGGGTGCTTTAAATTAGCACAGAAATAGCGAGCACCTTTGGGAGGAAATTGAGACTAGCCAAATTCAGGGAAAAAAAAAAAAAAAAGTCTTATTTAAGCCATAGGGAAGACCTACGAGACTGAGCTACAAAGAAAACAGCGGATTCTCCATAGAAAAGGATGGGTTCTCCATCTCCTGAAGCCTTCAAGTCAAGACTTGAAGAAATTCTGAAACACGTGCTTCATCCAAATGCCAGTTATTGGTTCAGCACAGCTGGCCATAAAGAAGAGGAAGGCAGAATAGATCACAGCACAGCAATCCATTGAAAATCTGTGTTTCTCTCATGCATGCCTACATCTAAGCAAAACTTCTCTTGTGTGCGGATGTTTGGTATAAGAGGCGTGACACAAGTAGGAATGACCAAGGTCCCTGTGGAGAGAAAGACATCACTCAATTTTGCAAGAATTCATGAAGTAACTTTTCTCTGTACAAAAGAGGACATTTTCATAGAAAAATAAATGTGCCTAAATACAGATGTCAGAGATGGTCAGTAGTAAAAGGGGTACAGCTTTACTCACTTGAAAAACTCCAAAGAAAAAAACTACAGTAGGCTACATTCATTAAGCAAATGTAGTTTTATTATTGATGAACTATACATTTTACTGATTATACTTGCAGTCAAGTATATTCATGAAAGTATTTAAAAATGATTGTTTTTAAAAAACTTGAAAAAAAAATAAAGTATTGTTCTTTTACCCTGTGCCATGTGCTGTAGGTGTCCCTGCTGTAGCAGGGGAGTTGGACTAGATGATCTCTGGAGGTCCCTTCCAACCTCAGCCATTCTGTGATTGTTATTTCTATTAAAGGTCTTTGATAAGATATTTTTAAAATATCATGATAGATTTTGGCTGTTATTTCTAAATACCAACCATCTTTTCAAATACCATATGGTGACGGACTAGCAAGTAAAATGAGGAAAAACTCCTCGTTTGTTCTTTTGGCTTCTCTTCTATCTAATAATATAACACTAACTTTTAATATAATATTTCATATATGAATTGATTAAACAGAGTCTCAGAACGGCTTGTACAAGAAAAGGCTGCACATAATAAAATAATACCTGAGTAACTGTATCACAATACTGTTACACTCTAATAGAATCAAAATAGTCTGTTACCTAGACCTAGAATTTTCAGGAAAGAAACATCAAAGATGAAGAAGCCCTCGAGCTATTTAAGAAAATGTGTGAAAACACAGTGCTTCTGCCTAAGTTGAGCAGTAACATTGGGAAAGAGCCACTGACCCAACAAATGAAGCACAGAGAAGCCTAACGTTTCTATCAGTCATCTAGTTGTGGCCATTGGCTTCTGTGTTTCTGAAGCCATCACAATCCTTGAGATTGGGAGAACGAAAGTACCTAAATTTAGATGACTGCATCTAATTAACACACCTGGCTAAGTAGGAGCTCAATGTGCCACAGATAGTGTCTTCCAGCTAACTGGAAAGATGGAAAAAAAAAAAAAAGGAAAAAACAACACTAATCATATCACAAATTTCTGTAACATTGCTGTGTTTTAGCACCTGAACCCACACTCCTGTTTTGAATTTACCTACAGCAACCTACGGTTTCTATCTGTCTCCGAGCTCCACAGACACAGCAGCTGGATTTTCAATACGTTAATTTTGGTTGAGATGGTTTTGGATGGATGAATCATTTTTGGTCACTTCTTATATGCATGCTTTATATTTCTGGCAAAGAAAATAAACATAAAAATAGGAACTGGGTTGAAAAGGGCAAGCCAGCTCAGAAATAAAGTTTTCCTTTATAAGTTAGCCAGCACCTTGCTGTATAACAACACAGCAAAGCCACGTGCATATGCCACTTGTGAAAAGTCAACTCTTTCATGAACTAATAATAATAATAATAATAATAATAATAAAACTCGTTATGAGAGTAGTCCATGGAGAAATGGAAGTGCAACAGAAGATAAAGTGCACGCAGCTCCTTAGGCAGGAAGATCTAGCCCTGTGTGCCACTCCAGGTGCTTCAGAACCAAGTCCCACTGACCGCAGACCTTAGTCTCCCTGGGAGCTCCTGGGCATTAAGCACAGAGCTAACTGCAAAGACAAAGCATTGCAGCATTCACTGACATCGCCTATGGGGGAATTCCTGAATATGAAGATCTTATGGACCGAGAGAAACCGCTACGTGGATACTAAGGTGGGAATAACGCGTTGGGCGCGAGGACCCAACCTACGCGCTGTGGTGGCGAAAGCCAGCGGCTGCTCTCGTTAGTTGCCCGCCACGTTGGCATTAGCGCTCGCTCGCTGCCTGCATCCGTGCTGTCCTTTGGCACCCGGCCTGTCCCGGCCCCGCTTCCCACGGTGGTGACTGTGGGTGGGCACCGCGGCTCTCCTTCCCGCGCCTCGCGTGTGCCCGGACACAACACTCCAACTCCATGCCTGGCTCCAGCTTTCCTCAGCGCAGCGCTGGGCACCGGGCAGATTTGCGGGGAGCACTTTTGAGCTAAGCACCAGCGCATCACGCACCACCCCTCGCTCCCCGGCCGCTCACGGCACCCGGGCTCGACCCGCGGGCGGGCAGCGGCACGGCACGGGGGTCCCCGCGCGGTACCTGTAGAAGTAGTGCCAGCCGAAGAGGCAGCAGAGGAGGCGGCAGCCGAGCGGCTCGAGGCGCGGCGGGCTGCGCAGCGCGAGCAGCAGCGCGGGCACCAGGAAGGAGGGCAGCTCCTGCAGGAACCAGGCGCAGCGCGCGGGCAGCCGGCCCCGCGCCCGCGCCAGCCGCTCCTCGTGCTTCCCGTAGCGGGACGGCACGCGCAGGTAGAGCGAGAGCTGCAGCAGCGCCAGCGCGCCCAGCAGCGAGCTGAGCGCCGGCACCAGCCCCGGCAGGCACTGCATGCTCGGCGCCGCCGGGCAGCGCAGCGCAGCGCAGCCAGCCCGCGGCCAGCGCTCGCCCCGGCCTTATGAGAGGCGCCGCGGTCACCCCGCCCCGCCGCGCGGCCGCCCGTCGCTCCGGCCCGTCAGCGGGCGCAGCCCCGCGGGCGCCCCGGCGCGCGCCGAGGGGAGCGGCCCCCGCCCCGCGCCGCGCCGCGGGTAACGGCCGCGGGTAACGGCCGCGAGGGCGGCGGTTGGCGCGGGGGCGCCCGCGAGGGCACGCGCGGCGGGGCCGCCTCGGCGGCAGCCGCAGGCGCCGGGAGGCTGGAAGCGGCTTCCAGGGGAAGGAAACGGGGGATATGGGGAAACGAGGGGAAATGGGGATAGGGGCTGTGCCCGCTGCCCCGCAGAGGTGTCGCAGGGATGCCCACATGGGGTGCCTGCATGGGGACAGGGGTGCCCGCATGGGGTCCCCAGGCACAGCCCTGGTGTGTGGAACAGGAGCAAGGAGGGTCTCAGCTTCCCTAACCTCCACATGGTGGTTGGCCCATGGCCTGGGCTGGAGCAGCCCTGTGACAGTAGGATGTCCTGCTTTGTCTCACAGCCTCCATGCTGAAGGATGCATGGAAAGTGAAGGGATGTTCATGGCTGTGAAAGGACTAGGGAAATTCAGTCTAAAAATGGCATGTCCAGCCCATATTTGGCGTGACCAGAACATGCTCAAAATTTGTGAGTGCACCAAGTGCAGGTCCTAACACACCTAAAGCTTTACTTTGAGGTGTGCTCAGAAACATTTCATGTTCCACAGCATGAAGCAGTTTTGCCAAAAGTTTGCCGCAAAATACTGTTCAGGAAACAGTGTCTTTGCCCTTTTTTTTTTCCTCTGGGTCTTCCTTTGTAAAGATTTCCTGAGCGCTTACTCACTACAGGAGTCCCTATATTGTTACTGGCCATTGTGACATAGCAGCTTATGGCCATGGATTTAGGTTGCATCCCTGTCATATCACAGGGAATATACTAATCCAGGATATGGGAAACTTGAGTTCAATTGCCTGCTCTGCTTAAGGGGAATTTCCCTTCTACAGAGAGTGACCAAGGCACCAGGCTGCAGACTACCCTGTATTCCAAGAAGTCATTTTGCTATGCTGGCTCTTCTAGGGAGTATTTACTTAAAACAGAGGAGCAGGGCTCTTCACACCCTATAGAGATTCTCCCTTACCTCTGCTGAGTGCTGTAATCACCAGGCCCATGTTTATTCTTTCCATGCCAGGCAAGGCTTTTCTGGCCTTTGTGTGACCTAGTATGGCTGACGTCTACCTGCCAAAACATTCTTCCCAAGAGAAGACAGTGCCTGCCTCCATGCTGCCTGTTGGAGACAGCCTCTGGCAAGGGGCATTTCCCAGGTGTGTGTAAAGGGGATGGCCCCAAACTGGCCCAGGTATGTTAACCATTAAACAGCATGAATAATGGCCAATTCATGTCACAGGCACTCACATTTAAAGTAATGACTTTACTTTAAAAGGTTCCTGACTGTGTTCAGCAGCAAAGAAAGTTCCCTCTAGGAAAGGTTTTAGAAATCTAAGTATTAGCAAGTGCAGTACAGTAGAAATGGATCTGTAGTGTAGATATAGAAGCATAGAGTAGAAATGGAAATGAAGTCTCAGCTTCCACAGTATGCAAGTTTAAGGGGCACTTACTTTAAAGTACTTCTAGTTTGGTCCCATGAACTGGACACACATTAGTGATAGGAGCGTGTTAAGTGCACTCTGGAGTGCATCTTCTGGCTTAGTTTCATCCAAACACAAACAAGTGATGGGCACTGAAACAGATCCATGAAGCAAACCAAGCCCAGTAGGGGAGTGCTTTAGGAGAGTCACTTCAAAAGCACATGGTGCAAACCAAAACTCTAGAGGAGGCACAGGCAGTGTAAGAACTGGGAGAGACCAATGTAAAATACAGCCCTGGCAGCTGCAGATATGCCCCTGCTCATCATCCTCCTGGTCGTGTTCAAGCCAAAGGAGACTAGTTCTTCATTAGGACAAATGGGTTGGGAATTCCTCTGATGTTTGAAAAGGGAACACCTCTACCTGGACTGATCAGATAGAAGCCATCTCCAGTCCCTGGAGAGAAGGGAACACTTTGAAGTATTAATTCATCTCTCCCTAAGGTGGAATAAAACAAATGAAACAAATCCGACCATGGAAAAAGCCTGTTTCTGTCCATTGGCACTGAAGAAATTCTAGACAAATACTTCAGGAGAGCTGGATCCCACCTTTGCCTATATACATCAGAGCTCTTAAGCAGTTTCTATAGATAGGCACATCTATCAGCAGGCATTCACCTGCAGTGCTGAAAAGACATGGTTTGTATAGGAACACTAAAACTTTATTTCAAGCCATGCTTTACTTTCCTCATGGGTGCATGAGCAGATGTGGGTTTCACTAGTCCAAGGGAGCACCATGCAGTAATGAATCTTGCTCTGAAATCATCTTGAGCCAGCACTATCAAACTATGGAACATAGCTCAGGTAATTTAAACTTTTTGCCTTCTGATAATTTACAGATATTCAGAATAATTTTTATGTCCCAGCAGTAAATAATTCAGTGGGTGTATTGGTTGGAAAAATATTTTAACAGAAAAGTGCCTGCAGTGCTGCGTAATTTGAAGAGAGATATTCTAAGTTCTGTTTATGTATTTGTTATTTGATAAAATTTCAGAACTCTTGTTTTACCTTTGAAGGGAAATATTCAACTCTTTCAAAGAACTGAATTGTAGGTTGAACATAATGAGTTATGAGGAAGGCAGAAATTTATAAGTAGGGAACCTAAAGAAAAACTACACTATTTATAAATCTAAAGGTCTGTGACTTGAGAGGTTTCTCAGGAGAAAATTATGAGTAGATATCGAGGTAGTTTTGCACTGCTGCAGGTCTTCCCACTGAGTTCAGGAGGTAACGAAGACTCATTATTGGCCCTTGCAGAGTGAGTGGAGTGAAGCCCCCCCAAGCCTATCCCGCTGCCCGCTGGCATGTCCAGGCCTCCTTCCATCACACCATGGACGTCCCTGCTCTGGTAGCTCTGGGCAGGAGCGCTCTGATGGACCTGCCTGCTATCTGCAGCCCAGAGAAGCTTCTTACCTGAAGGAGTTCCTGTAAAACAGAGCAGGTCTACAGTACAAAAAACATCTGTTGCTTTTACCTGGAGGGTATAGAGTGGGTGTAGCAAGGACCCTTAGCTGTGCAAGCCCTTGCAGTTGCACATATATAACCTGTAGGAAGGGCTGCAGGATTAACTTGCGAATTCCTGAAGTTATGGCAATGCTCAATTAGATGAACAATTGCCTCATGTAGCTCCTTAGATCTCCCAGAAGTGTGTGCTAGCTTGGTTTATGAAATTTCATGAATAACCTGCAGTTATTACGTGTTCTCTGAACACTGTTGGAAGCATCAGGATCTTAGAAAACTATAATATTGTCCCTGAATCTGGATAGGAGTTATTTGAAAGATAATTCTGAAAACACAGAAGGCAAAGGGGAACAAAGTTTGCAACTTTGCTAGTTGCAAAGACAGCCTCATCTATAAACCTTCATTCTATATAAACTCTGTGATGAACTGTGGATTAATTTTTCATTATTTATGCTTACTTACCGTTAGGCAAATACACAGAAAGACTCACTTAAGCAAATACAGTTTGAGTGAAAAGATAGTAAAGGTAGTTTTTTAAGCAGACAAGACAGACTAGACCAGGAAGATAGGGAAAAGGGAAGGAATAAATCTCTTGCAGGATTAACTTTAACCTAGTGCACAGAGTTTTGCAACAAAGCATTTTTAATACTGTTTTGCATTGTTACTAGGATGAGAATAAAAACTGGCAATCAAAGAGAAGTCCACAAACTTTATAGGAAGACACTTTAAATTTCAAGTCTGGCTTTCCTTTCATTTCAAATTGTCTTGAACAGCATCAATATATGTCAGCCATGAGATCAGAATCAGGGCCCCAGTTCTTATCTTTAATTGATTTTATCTGGTGATGTTTTTTACTGCGTTGTCTGGTTTTCATATTTTGGTCCCTGAGAAGGCAGTTCTTTCAGCAGAGAAGAGAGATAATATCTTTACACCCACACTGCCCCACCTATTCCAGTTTGTTAGCATTAAAACATCCTAGCATCTGAACATTATGAGATGAGGAAATGCTCAAATTAGCTGTCTAGCTCATTGAAAGTGAGCCAGAAAATCACAGAATGAAAAGCAGGGGGAGCTTGAGGAGCACAAGAGAATCCTTCTCATCTAATATCTAGTGCAAAGCACGGAGTTCACAAAGCACAGAACTGCTGTTTCTGCGCTCACCAGAAGCTGGGACATTGTTGTTTCAGACAGACTCTCTCGGGAATTTAGCTATAACGCTCTAACAAGTTTCTCCTGATCATCATAAACCACAGCTTTTCAAAGACTTGTCCCTTGGCATGGCCAGACCCAAAGGCCACCTCCGGCCAAGTGTCAGACGGATCCTCCAAAGCTTGGGGGTGCTAAAGCAGCTCAAAGAAAATGTCACCATTTTTTAACATTTTTAGTTATTGTCTTCCCAGAAACGGTTGAATTGTTAGCTGATGTTTTTCAAGGAGTTTAAGTAGACACCAAACTTGGCAAGCTGAAGCCTGTATGGTTAAAGCTGGTAAAGTTATAAACGATTTAAGATGGTGCCTAACAATGGGAAATGCCAGGAGGCTGTTTCAATTTCCAGGACTTTTTCCCATGCTGTAATATAGGAAAGTAGTGAGGTTAGTGCCACCCCTAGCCCATGTGCTGCTGCCCAAGCGTGGTGGCAAGGGCTGCAGCTCTCTCGTCATCATTGCTTGCCCCGTATGTCTCCTGACTCGGCAGTGTGGGTGGTTGGAGGCGGCACAGCGCCCTGTGGAAACTCACAGGCTGTGCTGGGCTGCAGAGCAGATGCCTGCTGTGGCAGCCCTAGGCACTTCTCTATTAAAACCAGGGGCTCATGTGGAGTGTAGCCCACCTCCCATGCACC